GTTCAAGTTCAGCCAGATCAGTCATAGTTAGAGATGATATTTTGATTTACAATAACACTCCATTAAACTTATATATATATATATATATATTATAAAATTAAATAGATTTAATTTGTTCCTTGTAAGTTTCCAATGAAAAAATACTATAAAAAGGAGAATTATTTTTCTGTGAAACTACTTTTTCATACCACACAAATATTTTTCTTATTTGCATATGAACAATAAAAGAAGAATTACAGTCATACATTGAATGGTTACAGTAATTGTTACTAAGAAATATATTTCTTTATAACAAAAAAGCAGTACATCCTTTTTTTGATCATGGGGAATAATTATTTTTTTTTTTTTTTACATTAAAACCATTCCTCTGGGTGTGCCTACCAAATTTGAGGGACCTACATGAAGTTGTTTGGACATGTGTAATGAAAAGCTTTTTCTGATATTTGGACAAAAAGAAAAATTTAGTAAAGGTTGTATTTACACCTTGCTAAGAAAGATCTAACACTATTTTTAAAAAAAAGAAGAGAATGTTAGGATACATTTAAAAATATTTTCATGCCATTTCACATCCAGACACCTTTCTCTAATGTTTTGCCTAAAAGAATAAAAAAATATATCTTCATTAGTTAATAGTATTACTTATATAGCTCCAGGCTAGAAATACAGAACCTCACAAATCATGTTAAGTGACATGAAATGGAGTCATCAATCTAATTTATTATACTATATTTCTCTTAATTTTATTTTCTAATTTTTGTAATAATATTTAGATGTAAAAATCATAATAAGCATCTTACAAATATGCTTAAAATGTAAAGTGTATAATGAATGTATAATGACAGTAGTGGCATGTGGATATGAAACACAGAAATTAACAAAATAACAAATTCAAAAGCACACAAAGAACATAAATGCAATGTTAGGGATAAGACTAAGAAGTAGAAAGTGGTCAACCTGGATAAAAGAATAAATGAAAATAAGAGAAATCATAGAAGTGACTAAACAACAAAATTGGAGGTGAGCAGACACAGCATGAAGAAAGGAAAACAGGTGAAGCTAAAGGTTGATAGATTGATAGCCAGTGTATAACAAATGTAGTAGAGCTGAAAACAAGGCAGAAAATAGAGACAGGAAATACAGAAAATTTACTGGTAAGATATGATAGAGAATAATCATGGTCATCATGGAAGAAGTTTGGAAATGCTTTTGTTGAATAGCAGACTTGCTGTAACTAAAATTCACTCACTTTTACTCAGTTTAATTTCTGTTACTGACATAAAATATACCGTGCTACTAGTATGTACTTAAACTGCTCTCTTGTCTCTCTCTCTCTCTCTCTCTATATATATATATATATATATACATATGTATGAATGTATGTATATTTTGATTGATTTGTTTATTTATGCTTTTAGCTATGTATTATATTTGTCAAGATGTTATTTATAAAGTAGTTATATATACCTTTTTCTGCCTACAATATTAGCATGATTGATGCTAACCTCCCAGATAGCAATTCTTTGCACTTTCTTGGACTCATGTTTTCCATTGACATGAAATGGAGTTATACTGAATCAATTCCTCAGTCTACAGCTAGGAAAGTATTATGCCAGAAAATTTTTCTTGTTAAAACTTATATTGAGCATTTTAGAAATCTACTATTCCTCCATGCATAGAGTATTGCTGCCATATCTGGTTTAGTGTTCCTTATATATATATATATATATATATATAGTGAACATTGAGATCAACAGTCAGAGGTGACAGACTTTCATGCTAGATGCAATCATAAGGCCTGATGATTGTGTCCAGCATGAAACAGTCTGTTGCCTCTGAGTGTTGATTTCAATGTTCACTTTTATATTTACATATGCTCTATCCCTGATATTGAGCACTTTATTCTATAGATATAGCACACCTTAAAAAAACTATATATATATATTTATATATATATATATATATATATATATATATATATATATATATATCGAGAGAGAGATTCTTGACAAAATCCAAAGAAGGGTCTGTATTAATATCAGTCCTGACCTGGCATCTCAACTTCAGTCACTTTCTCACTGGCATAATGTTACTTCCCTCTTCCTTCTCTATGAATATTCTCATGGCAATTGTTCCAATGAACTTTCCCCCCTGGTGCCTCAACTGCATGAATTTAAGTGGAATACTAGATTGGCAATTAGCTCTCACCATTTTACTGTGAAACTAGCTAGATACAGTGTCCTACACTAATAGTTTCTTTTCTTGCATATGGAACTGCCTTCTAATTTCTTGCTTTCCTGCCACTGACAATCTCCAAAAATTTAAATGCAATACCAATTATCATCTTCTGTCTTCCTGAACACTGTTCTTTTCTTGTCCTTTCTCCTCGCTTCTCACTAAAGTCTTTTCATTCTCTTTCACTCTCAGTAATCCCATGCATCCTAGTGGCATTATCACCTCGCTTGGAGTGAAGTGAAACAATTTAAAAAAAAAAAATGTGTACAATCAGTGTTCAAAGTGTTTTTTTGTTTGTTGTTGTTTTCTGATAACTATACAAACTAATCAATATTATCAAAAGATGGGAATATTGATATCTTTGTATCTAAATTTGAAATAAAAAATTACTGATCCCTATACTGAACATGATAAAATTGTCAATAGTAACTGTATACCATAAAATCTTTGGCTGAAGTGAATAGAAAGCTTGAAACATGTACTAACATTCAATAAAAATATAATTTATGGAATACAGTATTAGTCTCTGTCTATATTTCTGAGATGAGGTATTATGTACATAATTTACATTATTCGGACTATCGTCCTCATTTTTGTTGCCATATTTATCCCAACATTTCAGCCATTGTATGCTCTGGCCTTCCTTAGATGGTTGGAATGTCAAACTGAACCCTTTATTTCTCTCGTTGTGGAAGACTGTTCTAGTTCCACGTGCTATGTCTAATGGATGTCAGTTATCAGTTATCTACTGTTAATTCCCCTCTTCAAGTTCTCCACTGCCTTAACCAGGTATTGAGCTCACAACTCTTTGGGTCCTGTCAACGGATCTAACCAACGCCTTTATCCATTGTGCTATTGTGAGTTCAGTACCTGATTAAGGCAGTGGAGAAATTGGAGAGGGAAATTAACAGGAGATAGCTGATAAATGACATCCATTAGACATGGCAAGTGGAACTAGAACAGTCTACCCCAGCAAGCAAAATAAAGGGTTCAGTTCGACATTCCAACCACCTGAAGAAGGCCAGAACGTACAATGGCCAAAATGTTGTTAAATATGACAACAAAGATGAGGACGATAGTCCAAATAATGTAAATAGTGTATAGTATTAGTCTACAATTTTATCATATCAAACATGTTGTTCTATAATTTTGGACTTCAGATATAAATACGAAAGCATCAAGAATCAAAATTAATTTTATTGCCTAAAATTTAGTTGTAATGTTTTCTTTCAGGTAATTTTAATGAACAATATTTTCTATGTTAATTTGTTGTGTAATCTCAATTACAAAATTAATATCTTGTTTAAACTTGATTTTTACTTAGATTTGTTATTTATTTTAGGAAATCTTTGTCTACATTCAAATATGATAAGAAAGGAGCTTTTTTCTTTCTTTTTATTAGGAGGGTTCATTGAATTAACATTTGAACACTGACTGTCTTTTGCTCAGAAATTCAAGTACTAAAAATTTTTTTCACTTCTGCATACTGTATATAAAGCATCAGCTTGCAACCACACTAAGCGGTGCTGCTGTGGTTTTAATACCAAGAGAATTTTTTATGAGTCCAAGTTGCTATCTTATGCTTATCCTACAGGACTAAAAAGTTCCTATTGCCTTACTATTTACCTATAGCCAGAGGGAGAAGTGAATTCATGATGTTCCCAAGGAAATTCATGATAAATGATAATTCTTCTCATAAATTATATGAATTCAATATCAAATAGAATTGCTCTTTCATCATAGAGGTAAAAACTGTCAAGTTTTAATTGCCATGAAACATCATTTTCTTGTTCTATCCTTTATTGATCCACAAATACATTCAATTATGTGAGGTAAAGTAATTTTATTTCATTACTAAAGGATATAGATGCATGTGTAACTTGAGAAAAACTGTAGATTTGACACAAGTTACAGGAAATTACTATTCAACACCCAGATTCCATGAATTTCAGCTTTCAGACCAAAATTTCTATTGAATAAAGCAATAAATTGCTAAAACTCAAGTCAATAGGGACAAATACTTTAATTTGTGGCATTTGTCAACATCCTTGGAGTTTTTCTTACTTTGTATTGCTTAATATCTAAGATATTCTTAAATCAGTCTTATTAAATCTGTAATTGTAATGTTTAATTTTATTTTCAAGAAACTGCAGTATAAATACTTAGCACAAATGACTTTAGCAAACTGCATAAAGAAAACTCGGTCAATAATTTTAGTCCTTTACTTAGGAAAGCTGACAAGTAAAATTATTAACTCTTTACAAAATAATTTATTCAAACTTAAAAATTGGAAGATCATTATCAGGAAATGTTTTCTTTTTTGCTTGTTGTTTATCTCAAATGCACTTGTTGAAGATATTGGTAATTAAAGTGCTTTTAATACACTAAGACAAGTATTTGTAATTAAAAATCAAAGACTTAATATTTTCAGGATATAATAATATAAACAAAAAAAATATTGCCAAAATTAGTGTTACATTTTTCTTTTCATATCTAGCACAATATTAGGTGAGATTATCTTATTTAAATTATTTGCTGCTATTCTTTTAAATTCATTCTTCATCATCATAATTATCAGTGCTGTACATTTATCAATTGCTTTTAGTCAACTGTTTTATTCAAGTTGTCATCTTCCTCCAGGATCATGTGCCTGGTAAATGGTAAGCCTTCACATTTTATCCTCAAATATTAGAATTTTATAAACAATTGTTTTCTTAAGACTTTTGGCCAGAAAAGTGGGTGGGGGAGATCTCATATGTAATCATTCCTGTGATCACCAAAGTTAAGCAATATTGAGCCTGGTCAGTACCTAAATGGGTGACCGCTTGGGAATACCAGGTGCTGTAAGCTTGGATGGGCATATGGTGTAATGGATAATGGCTTAGAATTGTTAATCGGATTAAAATACAGATTAAAATGAAAGAAGTCATAAAAATTATAAGCCCAAGTTGTCATCTATGTGGTAGACAGGCAACCCCCTATTAACACACACCACTACTGCTGATTCTAGAATTACCATTTATTAGCAAACATCTGTTCATACACATCTACAGACATATATGTATATAATGCATTGCATTTATGTGTATGTCTGTCTGTGTGTGTGTGTGTGTGTGTGTATATATATATATATATATATATATATATATATAGGTACCACTACTGATTCATTAAGAAATTAGCATACTATGATGAAAAAATACCCTAAACTTAATAAAAACAGTTTTATCGTCAAAATCTGTGTTATTATTAAGAGGAAAGGATTTTTTCATTATTAAATTATATTTTTCATCCTTTTTCTTGAAACTTTGGTTAAAAAAACTTTCTTTCTGTGTCAATAGGAGGTTGCAAAGATTAGTATTAGAAATTTTAGCATCTTTTTCTGCAGTGAGAAACACACTGATTTGGAAATTCTTGCAAAATCAAATAATTGTTAGATTTTAATTAAACTTTCAGAACTTTATTTTAGAAATGTTTTTTTCTAGAAAACTTTGGTAAAAATATTTTTTTCCGTCTGTTATCCCCCCCCACCTGTTTAATTTTATGAAATTTTGTAGAGATTAATATTAGTTAAAAGCAGAATTCCTTGAAGAATTTAAGTCATCCATTTCTTTTTGCAAAACAGGACACCTTAAAATAAAAAAATGCAATAAAACTAAGACATTATTTAATTAGAAAAGCTTTTAATTGCTTAATGAATAAGATACATTATGGACATTGTTGTCTTAAAAAAAATATTTTTTGATGAATAATAATTTACAAGAATTGGTTTTAAATTTTAATTATAGTTTAGAAAGTTTTAAATCTTTTAAAATTCTGTCTAACTTTGCAGAGGCTAGGTGATATTTATAAGTAAAAACTATATTTATTAATCATAAATTGAAAAGTTTAGTACAATTCATTGACTGTACCCACCCAATATTTTAAAAAGAATTTTGACATTTTTTGTGTGTATAAACATGCCAATTTTTGTAAATACGGATGTCCATACACAACATTAACAGAAAATAAAAGTGATAACTATAGTAAATTTAAAGCCAAAGTACCTAAAATTTAATAAAACATTAGATTACGACAAATATTTTCCTAAATTTTTAAAATTACTGGGTAGTTAAAAATTATATAAAAAAGACACTCACGTTATATTCCTGAAGTAATCTTTACAGATATATCCACCATAGTAAAAAGTAGATAAACTTCCATCTGTTGGTCAAGCTATCAACACCTTAAATAAGCTACTACCATTATATTAAAAATTGCATTTCTGCAATATTTTAAACTTAAAATAAGTAATATTTGTTTCAAATCAGAATAAACTTTAAATCAAGTAACATTCCTTAAATAAAGTTTCAGGAAGGTATGTTTTATTTTTGAAGGGTTTTTTAATAAAAAGAATTACATTATGATGAAAGCTGGCTAAAAATTGTACTAAAATCAGTGATTTTAGTAATTTCTAAATAAAAACTACTTCCAGTCAATTTAAATTAGTTTTAATACAAGCAAAGTATTTTGCTTATTGGAAATATTAAATTTAATCTATTAGCTTGAAATTAAAACTAAAATAAAAGCTTCAAGAAAGAGTTTTCATTTTTAAAAATTCTTTATAAACTGTAGGTATTGCTTTTCACTAGTGGTGTGTGTGTGTGTATATATATATATATATATATATATATTAGCTTAAAAGCCTCCCTATCAGGCATGATTTAAGCTCTAGAAGGCTCTAGATTGAGCCTTCAGCTTGTTCGGGAGTTTGAAAGTCCCTAAGTCTTTGTATATTCTCAGCATTGAAAGCTCTCCTGGCTGCCATTTATTCTGGGTTTTCATTTTCATGGGACTTTCTTTTCTTCACTGCAGCCTTGGCTATTTTGAGTGCAACCTGGTCCTCTGTTGATGGAAATTTCTTTTTGCAAAGTATACTGCTGCCATATGCAATAGGCAACAACAAACTACAGAAGAACTCAAAATTGATCACTGCATTTAAGTATTGCATTAATATTTAAGTTTGCCTTTTAAAAGTTCAACAATAATTCTTCTGCCACCACTTAATAAAGACAATTTGATGTGTGTAGGTCCTTACTTTCTATTCAAACAATTATTTTTATTTTATGAGTGACTTTTGCTGGATTTCACAATTAATTTTGATTATTCCCAAATTTATTTCCAAATTATAAAAATTATTATCATACAAAAAAATAATTTATCACAAAAACCCACATAAAAAAAAAAAATTGCTGAAAACAATCACAGTAATGAAAACTTGAGAATCCAAAATTTTGGTAACATAGCTATCGAAAGTGGGCAATGCACAGCATTCAAAGACCATTGCCCAAGCCTATGCCCTTGAGAGGTCACACCAGTCTCACCACCAAAGAACTGAATTTTGACCAAACAGGGTGCTACCTTTAAATCATGAGGTTAATGGATACTTTCTTATATATTAATAATAAATATATATTTGTTTCTCAATGTTTTATGCGATACTGAGTTTCATGCATGTGGCAATTGTCTGGCACAAATTTTAATAGTTTTCAATTTGTGCCTGACAGCAAGGAACAAAATATATCTATAATATTATTGTCCTATATTCTATGTAAATAGAGCCAGATCAGGCCAAAATGTCATATTTGGGCGTGAACTGCTCAGACCTCACTCTTCAGCCTTGATAGAGTTCAAAAGTGTCTCCGAGCCCATATGGGTGATGAATTATTATCCACCCTTCAACCTCTGTATCACATGTGACAAACCTCTCATTGCTCTATCACTACTTTCACAAAAAGTGCTCAGACAAACTATATTTCCTGGTCCTGCCAAATCAAACTTTCACATCTAGAACATACCATACTACTTACAAGAATTTAACTATTATTTTACATCAAACACTGTTTTATTACCACCAGCACTAATCACTGTACATTATTTTATATATTATTAATATATACTTGACTCTCCCATTGAATTCGACGTATGAGGGTCAAGCAGATCAGTTCCTAGGAAACGACAGCATGACACAGTACATGAGATTTGATTATAGTGGTGAAGGTTTTGTGCAGAACCGTCCACACTTTTTGAAGGGCCGAATACAGGGACCAGGTGCACTACACGCCACAAGGTTACCAAACGATTCTCTGCAGGTTTTGAATTCAGAGTTGTCCCTCTCCTAGACCAGTCTGTTCTACTATTTACCCATAACTCGAAGGAGAAGAAGAGGCTTCATACCTTTCCCAAGAGTATTAGCACGTGAGTGAGTGCAATGGATTCAACTGGAATTTGAACTCAGCTCTCTGATTCCTCAATCCAAGCTGCTATCCATTACTCCATGCTTGTGGGTTAATTAGTATAGCAAAATAGACTATTTTGCCTTAGGTGGTAGCAAGTCTAGGAATGAAAAAACTTAATTCACACCCTGTCTTTCCAAACAAGATCATACTTAAGTAGTTGTATTATTTTTTGACATTATTCCAGAAGGGTCAAACTCTGGGACAATAAAACATGAGGAGGGCTGTTTGAAGATTTTGTGGCACACTGTGCACCATTTCTGTGTTATCAGTTCATCTGAAAAATGACTGATACTACACAAGCCCTCACAACTATAATTAAATCATCTATGTGGGTAGCCCATCATTTTCTATTCTCAACCAACAGGACCTCAAGTGTCAAAGTCAATGGGAGAGTCATCTTATATTGCAGTTTTTTATTTGTATATGTTTTATTAAATTCTTGTTTGTGTTATAGAATGAACATATATATATATAAATTTAAATGAAACGTCAATCACCACCTATCTTCTTTAACCCCATTCAGCTTTTATCCTTTCCTTGGTTCCTCTTACCCTTTTTTCTCCCATCTTCACTCTCTGTAACCCCCTGTGTACCAGTGGCATTCCTCCCTTGTTTGGGGCGAAATGATTAAAAAATAAAAATGTAATGTGTGTGTGCACGTGCGTGCATCTACTAAGGCAGGATGGTTTTCATGCAAACCAAATCACTAATTTTTGATCCTCATTAGGTGCCCCAATGCTGTGATCTTGTTGTGCCAGACTAAGTTGAGCTTTGTAAAAACTTATAAAGTATATATATACATACATACATACATACATATATATATATATATATATATGTTGGAATAAATAATATTGCAGTAGAAATACAATATCCCTATGAACATCCAGAAAATTCATATAATAAACTAATTAAAGGTAGGTATGTATGTGATATATATATATATATATATATATATATATATATATATATGCAAAATCAGCAGTCATTTCTGAGTTATACCTAACAATGAAGAACAATATATATATATATATATATATATATATATATAAAATATCACACATTATGTAGATATTCCATGATATTTCTGTGTACGATTGTATTATGTTTATATTTGTATTTGAATTATAATTCTATTTTTGTAATTGGAGTTATATAAATTATGTGGAGATATGATTTTTTTATACTTATTTTAAGAATGAAAATAAATTTTTTTCATTTTTTTTTTCCATTCATTTATAACAATTTTTTAAAAAAAAATTTAATATTTAAAAATGTTTTTGTTTTTTAAACAAATCCTATAAATAACATGGACTGCTCTACTATTACAATAGTTGGGCATATCTATCAAAATTTTAATTATGTAACAGTCAGTTTCAGCTCAGCACCTGAATATTGTATTGTGCATGAAACTCAGTGTTGTGCTACCATTGAGGGGAAAAAATGTATATATATTGAATGATGTGATTTTGTGACCCTGGGTTTCATGCTATTTGCAATACAATCACAAATAGCGTGAAACCCAGGGTCACAAACTCACATCAATCCAACTTAATATGTTAGCTCTATC